ATATATATACTTTTTTTTTAAATTGTGTTTGGCAGTACTGGAGGTTGAACACAGAACTACATCCCCAGTCTCACCCCCTTTTATTTTGACAGGATCTTGCTGAGTCCCTAAATTTTCCAGGCTGTGTTTCAACTTGCAGTCCTCCTGCCTCAGTCTCCCAGCATGCTGGGATTACAGTGTGTGCCACCACACCCAGCCCCAGTTAGGTTACTGTAAGGATTAAATTAAATAATCCACTTGTCATGGGGCTTGCTTAAGTGCCAGCCTTTCAAAGTGTTAAATTTTAATATTTGTATTGTTAGTATCATTTACTACTTTTTTTTTTTGGTACTGGGACTCGAACTCAGGACCTTGGGCTTGCCAGGCAGGCGCTTGTGCCGCTGAGCTATATCCCCGGCCCCATTTACTACTTCCTTATTAATAGAAAAATCTGGGCCAGTCTTACAGTTGAGTTGTTTAATATGTGTCATCGTTCACTATCACAGATACATTAGCAAACCCATTTAGGCCATGTTGTTTAAACATGTTTTCTATTTGTGTTCCGTTTTAGTTTTTTAGCTCCTTAAATCTTACCGTAATTCTGGCTTCACTGGAGCTTTGGATAGATGAGAACAAAATTGCAACCACTGGAGATGTGAATGAGTTATTACACAGATTTCAAAATTGGAAGAAATCTTACCTTGTTCTGCGTCCACATGATATGGCATTTTTACTTGTGTAAGCATCTTTTGGAATTACTAAGGTTTCCACAAAGAGAACATACCAGTTTGATCCAATTTCTGGCAATTGGCAGGCCTGTAGGTAAAACTTTCTGTCATTTTTTCTGATATACACCACCATGTGACTATTGTTCGCCCTAGCACTGTATCTATGGCACAGTTTTTGGTCTCCTTCACTTTATCTAGTGGTTTGTCATGAAAGCTTACTTTTTCAATTTTGGACTATACGCCAGATTGTTCACCACTTAATTAAATGTCTCTAGATGTGCATCCAATATCAATAGTAAGCTGTTATCTGAACTCTAGGAGTGCAGCCTCCTTGACTTCATTGTCCAAATATTTGAAAAACCCCAAGAAATAGAAACATTATTGTACCTTTCAACATAACACAAAGTTAATATAACCGCATTGTGATGAAGTTTTTAGCGTGTGAGCCTGGCCCTCTGTTTAATAAGCTCGTTGTTTTTCTCTTATCAGTATTTCCAAATATATGTAGTATACAAAGAATTACGTGTAAAAATGTAAAAGCTTTTGTATTTTTAGTCTTCTGTCTTGTCCGTCCAGACACTACATCTCTGAATGGCTGTGGAGGGCTGATTCTAGCTAAACAGAGAGGCTGTGGTCCCTAGAGGATTCATCCACTTTGTCAGCTGCATTGTCTTAACTTTCTCAGTCTAAGGAATTTTGTTTATTTTTATCATATTTATTTTGAGGGATTAGGTCACTGTAGTCTAAGAAGACACCACATAATGTACTTAAACCATCATTATGTTATAGGAAGACATATGAAAAGGCATTTTGTGTTTGCTTTTCTAAATCGATGCTATTGTTTTCAAAAGATGCAGAAACACGTAATCGCCACACCCTAAGCTGTGCTGACACTAGTGGTAGGTGGACATATCTGAGTTTCATAGCAGTGCACAAAATTAAAATCTATCCTGTGAAAGCTGGGGATTGGTTGGGTTTCCTTTGGCAAAAGTATGTGATTCTGACCCACTGTGAAATTGAAGTTACAGAGAAGCCCCCAGTTACATCGGTGCCATCTTTCAAGGAATGATGTGTGACAAGGACTACGGGGGAGGCATCGCCCTGGTACGGTATGCTTTCACCTGTTGGGCTGAGTCTATAGGGGAGAGACGGCTACGTGAAGAGCATAAGATGAAACATTTCCCTCCCTTCTTGTTTCTACGTAGAGTAAATTTGCTTTAGTCTAAGGATTCTTGTCCCTAATGGTGACAAACTTTAACCTATAAGGACTCCTCATTGATCATACTCCATATAAAAATTTTACATGAGTCCAGGTACACTTTTTAAGCAATTGTTAAAGTAGTGACCCATTTTAGCATTATTATAATATGATATTATCAATTTTCATAGTCTTAATATTTGACCTTGCATGTATTTTAATAGAAAGCCTAGATTTGGTACATTTGCCTGATGATCTAGCTAACTTTATTATGAACCAGATTAAAACATTTGGGTCTATTTATCAATCACCTTAAAGACGCTGCACAGGACACAGTGAACAGAGGAGAACCAAAGGCCGTAGTTGACATTATTTATTTACCTTAGTGGGACATCTTAGTTGTACCTGACACTGGTATGTTTTCCCCCCTACTATTTTGTAATTGTATGGTTATTCTGGCAAAGAGAAAACTTGCTTTTTGTGACTTTTTGTGTGTTTGGACCCTGTCTGCTGGTTTCAGACAAGCGATGCATAATATTCTTGTTCTAGAAAATAAGTTAAAGTGAAGCCAGGTGAAGCTATAAATTAAATGGAGATGAAAATCGTTCAAGTTCATAAACCCCAGTTTGGAAAAGCTGGCTTTTGTTTGTGAGCAAGTGCTCTATCTGGTCTCCAAAGCTGGACAAGGCTCACAGGACACAACTTCAGAACCAGGCTTTCCGGAGAAGGCTGGCTGCCACCAAGGACCACCCGCAGGGGATTGCGAAGTGTGTCCTCATGGGCAAAGGACAGTGGTCCCCCTGGTGAGGGGAACAACCAGAGAAGACTTCTCAGTACTTTTTCTTATTCCCCACATTTTTCTGGAATAGCCACTGCACAATCTTCACTGGAAAATCAGCAGCAGCCAGTGTCCAAGGGGGAGAGGCATCGAAGACAGTAGCAGAAGCTCTGCTTTCGGATGACCAAACACCCACTCACCCCTCCTTCCCCCTAATCTTCCAGGACCATGAGATGCCACCAGGGGTTGTAGTCTTCATGCTCTATTTCTCCCTAAAAGCTTGTACACAAAACTACAGTCCGAGTGGTTTTTGGTTGAGTAGAAGCAAGTGAAAATAATCAGCATACGATTCTTTTTCAGTACCGAGGATTGAACCCAAGGGCTTCACACTGAGCTACACCTGCAGGCCTTTTTAATTTCTTTTAAATTAAAAAGGCTGAGACCCAGGGTCTCAGTAGTTGCTAAGTTGCCAGAATGGGCTCAAACTTGTCGTCTCCCTGCCTCATCCTCATAGTGCTGTGACTACAGGCCTCCGCCATCAGGCCAGGCAGCACAGGGTCTTTTTTAAATTTAAAAACATTTCAGCGACCATTCAAGGTCTCTGACAAGCTGATTATACGTTATACCTATAATTACATAGTGGTTACTACAGCCAACTTAATTAACACATTCATCGCTGAACATAGTCACCATTTATGTATGGGGAGAGCGCTTGAAATCTGCTCTTTCTCTGAAATTTAAGTGGACAACACAGTACCGTTTTTATTGCTGGATTCCCCGCAGAATCTGACCGAGCTCCCTCATGCTTCAACGACTGGTGAAGAGAAGTAAAGCCTGTTGAAGGGAGCTCACAGAAAGTCAAAAAAGAAGAGAAAGTATTACACACCAACAGTGGAAGGAAAATAGCAAAATGAAAGGGTTTCACAACAGATTGCCAATTGCTTCGTGATCATTTATTTAAATTTTTTTCCTTCAAAAAATTACAGCAGGGCCTTTATTATAGAAAAAATGGTCGTACTGCTGACCTCTTTCTGGAATCTTTTATGATCACTGTTCTATGTGCCTGTCCTTCCAACACCATGTTGTCTAAATGACCATTACTTTACAGTAAATCATCAAAATTAGTAGCATAGACCTTACTCACCTGTATTCTTCAGGACTGTGTGAAGTATTCATCCATTTCAAAATCAGCTTGTCAATTTCAACAGAAACTGGGATTTTATGTGTTTCAGGTTGCATTTGTAGGTCATTTTGAAGTAGATTGACATCTTGACAATACTGTGTCCTCTTCTCCATCAAACCAGTAAACCTACTGTGGGATACTGAGATCATCTACTGCTTCACAGAATCAGAAAAACTACTCAGAACTAATAGTTTTCAAGAAATAAAATAATAAATACCCATGGTGCCATTTTATGAAGCCAAAGTGCAAATAAAGATCAGCTACGGTACCAGAGTCCGGATAACAGTTAGATTTTAGGGGATGGCCACCCCTGGAAACTTGGTGGGGAGCACTTCCTGAGTGATAAAATGATTCAAGTCTTGTTCAGGGCAATGGTGGTATAGTTGTGTGTCTTACACACATGCATGTGCACGTCACAAATACATGGGATATGCACATAGTAAGGGCAAATTACACACATATAAATGTGGCTTTTGTAAAAACCATATGCATGTATATGCACATATATGTAAGACTGTTTCAAGACACTCAGTGTATGTGCTAGATAAAATTATTTAAAAGTCAGGAAGCTAAAGACTGCTTCAGTCTTGAATATTTCCAAAGTGATGATAATCAAAGGAAATACAAATGTTTTCATTTCAAAATTATGCAATTGATTTCTCTTTATAAATTTCAGATCTGCTGAGTATAATGCTACCGAAATTTTAACCCTAGAGGGAAAAAAAAAAGGCCAGAAAATATCAACTAAAAAAAAATTCATGGGGGCCAGAGATATAGCTCAGTGGCATAGTGCCTGCCTGGCAAGCGCAAAGTTCAGAGTCTGATTTCCAGCACACACAAAAAACTACGTATTCATATGATATAAAACATCAAAATATTCTTCAAATGAAAATTTGTATGATTTCTAAGTTTTTGTTACTTAGGATGGAGCAAAATTTTATTAGCATTTATCATATAATAATCCTGAATCCACATGTAGGCATATACACAATTCTTAGAAAATATATAATGCAGACATTGAAATAGCTACTAGTGGAAATAATTATACTTGGATAATTAATGAATTTCTCATGAATATACACGTACAAGCTGATATGATTATGTATGGGCATAAAACACATGCACTTATGCCCCCTAGTGGTAAATATGAAGAAGAGTAGAAATAACGACGTCATCTAGTCAAGGCTGTGAAGCTGAGGCACAGATTTTTAAAAAGCTCTACAGACTTGGTAAAGCCTTTGTTAACTTGTTATTAGAGCTAATAGGCAAGTAGAAAATAAAAAATTAAATATCAATTTCAGATAAATGATTTTTTCAGTCTGAGTACACCAGAAAATATTTGCTATTTCTAACTCCTACGAGAAAAATACGAAAGACTTGAAAATAAGCAGAAGAGATTACTGGGTATGCCCACTGAGCTGCAAGATTACCAGAAAACTTTAACCACAGATATTCGCTGGGATATCTGTTCCCGCCTAATGTCCCCTGCCTTCTCTCCATCCTTATAAAAGGGACCCACTTCTCCTTATTTGGGGAAGAAGGTTTTATCCCACTCTCTGTCTGAACCCGGGCACAATAAATTCCATGCCATGCTGCCTTTACACGAGCCTGGTGGTCTCTGCTGCTTATTTATCTGACAGTATACAGACTCCTAAAACTAGAGACTAGAAGTTTCAGCAAAGCTTACATGGCAGGGTCATTTGTAGAAAGTAATCATGTGTTAGGCAGCAAAAGAAGTTTTACCAAGTACCTACTATTTTATCAATTTCTGCCGATGAGCAAATCAGAAGCCTTAACAAATGTTATCCACAATTATTATTACTTACAAACTATTGTCTCAGGCAGATATTGTTTACCGAAAGAAATTTCTTTGCTTGCTTGACATTTTTTGGCCTAAAATATTGAAAATCCAGTATGTGACAGTTAAGTAACTTGAAGGCTTCAGAACCACCCAGGGGATTGGTAAAGCACACTTTGCGGGTATCTGGGTGGTCATAGAGGCTTGGCCTTCGAATCTGTATTTGTTCCGGTCACCATGAACAAAGCAGTTTTGCTCCACCCCACTCTTCTGCCTTGGGGCCAGCCAGTTAGGTCCAGGGCCTCTAACACAGGGAGTCAAATAAACCTCTTCTTCTCTTTTAAGTTTCAGGTATTTTGTCCAACAAAGGGAAGTCCGACTAACATACAATACTGAATATGATTTTCCTTTTTTTCCTCACTTTATTTTCAAAACTGAAGTAAGAATAACAAAGTCCTATAGGAAATTCTCACACTTCAGTCTCTTGAGTTTTTCATACTAGTCTGACATGAGCTGAATTGTGTCCCTTTAAAAATTCCTGTCTTGAAGGCCTAACCCCAAGGGTTAGGCTGCATTTGGGCCTGCAGCCAGTAAGAAGGAAATCAAGGTTAAATGAGGGCCAGGGCCGGGCTCTTATCTGTAGGACTAGCATGCAAGAAAGAAGAGAACAGATGCAAGGGGCAGCCCCCTACCACGTGCACAAGAGGACACAGCAGAAGGCAGCGTTACACAGGCAGGAAGAAGGACCTCACCACAAACCAGCCTTGCTAGCTCCTTGGTCTTGGACTTAAAGAAACGTGAAATTCTCTAAACCTGCAAGAATACCAATTTCTGTACTGGAAGCCACCCTGTCTTTGGTACCGTGTTCCGGCAGGCCAAGCTGACTGATAGACGATTTCGTCAACTGTCACAAGAGAATTTAAGGAAATGTCATCTCAGATATGCAACCTTATCTTGGCCCTGCCATACCGTGACAGGACTTTGTGTGCCAGGAGGAGGACAGGGATAAAGGAGCCATTGTACCTGGAGGAAAAAACACCAGCTTCTACACACACTGCTCCAGGGACATTAGCAGGAATGATATTTCTACCTCATTAAACTATAAAGGATAAAAATAAAACAGGAGAGAGACAGAGAGAGAGAGATTTCAAGATAGATTAGTTGCTAGGCTTTTTCCACAATATCTTCAAAACAAGATTATTTACAATAACCCTGTTGGTATTATACTACTATCTAAACTCTCAAAATTCAACAGAATCTTTCATTTTCTTCCCCATGTCATTATTCTTTCTTTCCTCTTCCATTTCTTCTCCTTACCTCCCCTTTCTCTATGAAAGCAAATGGTACATTCCAAGGTGGAAAATGGATGAGCTATTTATCAGTGTGTGTGCAAGGTGTGAGGACGTCACAGTGCCCCAGCACTGGACCTGAAGGGCAGCTGGGAGCCTTTTTGCAGGGTCGCAGTCGAAGGTGGGCCTCCAGGCTAGGGTTTGAGGATCCACCCTGGCAGTGATGGTAATAAACATGTCACGCTCACAACACTGTTGCCTTCCCATGAGGCCACTCTGCATGAAGGTGAAAACAAAAGATGAGGGAACCCTCGGGGAAAATCCATCTGTGTCCTGCTCTTGGAAAGTGACAGAGTGCAAGGTGGACAAGGAGGAGAAGTTGCTTTAAGAGAGTCAGACAGAAGAAATCCCAAGTCCTGGCTAGAACCACATCCAGAACTATGCTCATCCAAATGTTATTAGAGGTATTCCAAGGCATCCGTGACAGGTGTTTCATCAAAACCCCCGTGTCTTTGTAGGGTCAAAACGTACTGCAATAAGCATCTTGCTTTTCCAAAAAGAAAAACAAAGTATTTAATTTTGAAAATAAAGGTTAGACAACTGATAGGTGTTAGCATTCATATTGTCGGGCATTTTTACCCTAATGTAAGTAAATGTACCTGCTCACAACATGGCACGCACGTGTCTCAGGAGCAGTCTCTAAAGGTTTCCTTCTGTGCGTGGGACACAATGACCGCCACTCTTGTTGCGTATGTCAAGGACGTTGTGTGGGTGGGTTTTTCATTGGTCTGAAGCCACCAAATGAGTCATCCACCTGCATTTTGTTACACCTTCAGATCTTGCTTTACATTTTTTGCATGTTTGTAAATGACACTTGTATTCAGTCAGGCCAATATGGGTGGCACTTCTGTGGATAATACATCCCATTTTATTATGCGACAATGTTTAACACTTGCATTGTTCTGACAACAGATGAAAAGCAGGTAATGTGCACATGTACACTTGTGGTTTGTCTTTCAGTACCCCAGAACCATAACACTGGACTCCTTTGGAATTATTTTAGTTCAGTTACTGAGCCTGAGCATGGGAATCGGTTACGATGACATTAACCGATGTCACTGCCCAGGAGCTGTCTGCATAATGGACCCGGCAGCAATGTAAGGAGTTTAACTTTTATATCTAATATATATTCTGCATTGAGGTAGTTTGGTGTATTAAGTTTAAGGAAACTTCAGGTGTTCAGATAAATATCAGCTATGACCAATGACCGCAGCCCAAAGTACGTGTTCCAGGGCCGTGTGCCGTGCCTAGGGATCCCACTCTTTCTCAATCTGGTGTCACACCTGCTTTCTCATGTGTGAGCTACCTACACTTACCCCTGTTAACTTGCGTGTTCTCTAATAATCTTTGGTTTGATGATGAAATGCTGGTTTGCAGTAGGTACATGAGTGCTGTAGCCTGCAGGAATCTCTTCTCTCCTGCCCTGGTCCAGCTGACTTGGCCTCTACTGATTGAGGGATGTGGAGTTCCGCTTGGGCGGAGAGAATAAAACTTATCATGCCTGCAGGCCTAGGGGATTTGTTTGCTCTCCCCTCATTCTTCTCAGAGCCCATTATGAAAGTTTGAAGAAGTGAGACCAAGCAGCCACAGGATTTAAGGAAACTGTCTTGTCCACGACAGGGGGAACCAGGCTTTTTTCATTTTCTAGACAGACAGTTCTTGGAGAGCAGTTCCTGGACAGTTCTTTACTAGACAGATAGTTCTCTCAAACATCTTAGGGGACTGAGGCCCCGCGGCCTTTAGCACCTCATGTCTCATTCTCTCCATCGCTTTTCTCTTGCTGCCTCAAAATACTTGTACCCAAGCTCTTACCTCAGGCTCCGATGGGCAGAGGAGCCCATATCAAAATAGGTGCCTCATAAGTGCTACCTACAACATCTCTTTATGCTCAAGTTGGATTAATAAATTATCTGATGGCAGAAAGGACATAGTTGGAAGGGCATTGCAGCAGGTCCAGCGTGTGGGACAAGAAGGCTTGGTGTTTGGTCCTTAGAGTGATTAAGATACAATGAAGCCAAAGATACTACCGGTAGGTTAGGCGCACAGGGAAACTCTGTCAAATACCAGTTGTCTGCAGTGCAGGCTATAGCTCCATCGCAGCTCTGCTGTGCCCTTACGGGGCTGAGCTTGCATCCAGGAAATGTAACAGTGACTGTAGCACCAAAGCTGAAGACTTTCCCCATCATTTGGATATTTTCAGATCTACAGGACTGTAAGATCAAATAAGCATATCGATCGATCTGCCTGACAACCAAAATGGTATATCTAGGGCAGGCTAGAGAAGGTCCAGATAGCACTGGTGAATGTCACGAACATGATCCCAGGTCCCCTACGTCTACTGCACCCGTATTTCTCAATCACTTCACATCCTCGTGAGCTTCCCTAAAGTTAGTGAAGGCATAAGAAAATCTCAGTCTTCTTTTAATATATTAGTTGTAGAATAGAAAAAGAAAAAATGTTACATAGTCTAGTCCACTTAGATTGAGACCTAAGGACAGCAGGGGATGGTAAATGGCCCATGAGCCGATCTGCATGTGGCTTTCCTCTTTGTCCTGGTGTGAGAGAATAGACTCCTGTGCTATGACAAATGACTTGGTATCAAGAACTTGATGCTGTACAATTGGACACTGAGAGACAGTGAGAGGTGAGAAAGAAGCACGTGAGTTTATGTAGAGTGGTACTAAGCACGGTTGGTACTCTCTGTCAATGGATGCTACCTCTGTGGTTTCAGTCAATCATGGATCAAAACACCCCTGTAATCCCAGCACTTTGGGAGGCTGAGGCAGGAAAACTGAAAGTTCAGGCCCAGCCTGGGCAACGTAGCCACTTATTGAGACTGTCAACATTTAAAAATGTGGAAAAGGGTTGGAGATGTAGCTCATTGCAAAGGCCCTGGGTTCAACCCCTAGCACTGCAAAAACAAAGTGTCTGTACCAGACACATATAGATTTTTTTTTTTCTTGTCATAATTTCCTAAAAGCTCTAGTGTAACAACGTAACACATAACAAAGAAACACATAATTCTGTTTGAAGGAAATCTGTTTTTAACAGTCACTTTGTTCTCTCAAAAGGTTAGAATATTTTATTTTTTAAATGCAAATCACATTTTGCGGTAGAACGCAAACCTTAAGAATCTTGAATAGTGGAGAAAATCAAGTGCCTCAAAGCCTATCTGAATGGGTGAATCACTATTACCGATTTAAAATACAGTCACACGCATATATATAGCTAACCAGATGTGGGTCTTCAATGTTATGAAAAACACGGCCTTTGAGTGATGCATGAATGAGGTCAAACAAGTCAAATCTATAAAGATGGCATCTCTATGGCTAATGGTGACTCAGCGTTAGCCGTAATTTCAGGAAGACACAAGCTGAATCCCATGAAAATGAGGAGCCTGATTGTATCACACATTTGGCCCGGTCACAGTCCTCCCGAGCAACACAGGAGTTGTTATGGAGACACAATTTCAGGATTGCCCCTTGTTATCATCTTATAAATACACAGAAACATACACATACGTGCCAACATATGCACACAGAGATTCATTTTAGACTTCGTAATGCAGGCGCTATGAGTGATTCCTGTCTAATCAAAAAATCCTGACCTAGCGTCTATAGTGTACTAGGCATTATACATCATCTAGGGATGTTTTAACGAACACCCCAGGGTGTGTACATGTTATATGAAAATATTATTCCATGCTATATGAGGGACTTGATTTGAGTATCCATCAGGGGGCCCAGACTCTCCCCATGGATACCCAGGAGCAACTGCACGTAGATGGTTAGATCTCATTTTCAGTTCTCACCAGACAGTATTTACACCAGAAGAGGCATTCAGATACTTAGTCCACATTTTGATAGCTGTCAGTTTCTTTCCGAGGCCACCCAAAAGACAAGCCCTAAAGAGAAAGGAGTCCCTCCACAAGAACAACCACTTCAGTGGAGCACCAACTTCCTGGTGATCCAGGGACAATTTTTTTTTTTTTTTTTTGAGACAAGGTCTCACTATACAGTTCAGGTTGGCCTTGAACTCACTTATGTAGCACAAACTGGCTTCAAACTCACAGTGATCCTCCTGCCTCAATTCCTGAGTGCTGGGATTACAGGTGTCTCTCATTGCTGACACAAAATTCCTAACACCCAAGGTTAAAGGAGGAAAGATTTATTTAGCTCATAGTTTGTGGAGGTTTCAGTCCATACTCAGCTGGCTCCAAGGCAGGGTGGCACATGGCAGAGATCATGGCTGCAGAAAACAGCAAAAAGCAACAAGAGCAAAAGGGAGGAGTGGCAGCTGGAAGAACAAGCCTCTTTCCCTCCTTTATACTGTATGCAGGCTGCCCACCCCAAGGTAGGTGTGGCACTCACAACCATAATCCCAGCATTGGACCGTGGATCAGTCCTAAACTCTAGTAGCCTGCACCCATGACTTCATGAGGCTTTGAGGGGACATCCACACACAAACCATAACAACAGGCATGCGCCACCACACCTGGCTGTCCGAGGGAGATTTTTGGCTGGCTGTCCTGTGCACTGCTCTGAAGGCCTGGCAGGAAGCAGCCTCTATTGCTAACTCAGTAACATGTACTTACACTGATTTTTCCTCCTTGTTTTCCTTTATCCTGACTCAACTACTACTGCTTCCTAAGACCAAAACTCAAAAAGTTCCTGCTATTCTGTTCATGCCTCAGATATTTTTCCTGGTTAATCTAGACAAAGACACATGACATTTTATATGGCTCATGTTAATAATGTTGAGCAATAATCATTGCTTTTTTATTTATCTTTGACCATAATATAGTGTTCTCTTTGTACAATGGTGGGTGGTACATTTTTGGTGACGCTGTTGCATTGATCTTTATAGTTATAAAGGTAACAAAATGATAAAATGGATTGGAACCTCTTAAGCCTAGGTAACTCTTTGGCTCCTCTACACCCCTGCATATTGCCAAGGTAGTCACTGTGCAATTTTGAAAACAAGTGATTTGGTTGGGAAGGGTGAGGAATTATTCCCACCACGGTTAGAATCTTTCAAAATTCAGTGTTTCTTCTTTTTTTCCTCCTCCTAGAGAAACTGCTAAGTGTAAATGGTTTGGTGTTTGGTGGATTTCACTTGTAACTCTTGACTGATTTCACTTATCAGGGTTACATTGGCACTGTCTAATTTTCCAGAAGAGATTTGGAAATTTGTTATTATTTCTTTCTAAATTACTTGATAGAACTCACCAGTGAAACCATCTAGATTTGGATTTCTTTTTTTGGGGGAAGGTGTTTAATAATTTTATGATATAGGGTTATTTAGGTTTCAGTTTTTATTTTTCTAATATTTGTCCATTTCATCAAAATTAATTAATTTGTCATTGAGTTTTCTACAATATTTATTTTCTTTTAAAAATCAGTGGGGCTGGGCGTGATTATGCATGCCTGTAATCCCAGCACTCACAGAAGATGAGGCAGGAGGATAGCTACGAGTTCGAGGCCAGCTTGAACTACATAGTGAGACCCTGCCTCAAAAAAAATCAGTGGGATCTGTACAAGAAAGTTATATATTTAACTAAAGAGCCTCTAAGCCAAGCCTGGTAATGAGTTCTTAAACAAAGTTAATATTGAGGATAATAAAAAAACATAAGTTTAAAAACCAAAGAAATTATTTACACAGATGGTTCCAATCATGTACTCTTTCATTTAAAAAAAAATAATTACTGAGCTCTCATTCCATGCTAGTAAACTAAACAACTGGAACAGCTTTTTCCCTGGAGCCAAAAAAAAAAGTCAAAAATGAGGAAAAAGCAATCAAGAAATCAGTTATTAATGTTCCAATTGTTGATAAATATTCTAAAGAAAAAAAGAAACATCAGTAAAGAGGAGTAAGAAGATGATATTTTAAATGTGTGCTTGGAAATATCATCTTATTTGTGTAAATTTTGGACAGAGATCTGAAATGAAGAAGAACAAAAACTATGAACATGTTTTTAGAGAAAGTTTTCCAGGCAGAAGTAGTTAAATATTTGGCAGTGGGGACAGCAAAAAGGCCACCTCTCTGGGCAGCATGAGTTGGGGTAGAAGAGGAAAATGAGCTCAGAGATCTTACTCTGAGTGATTGAGATATTCTAGCTGGGTATAAACAGAAAAGTAACCTGAACTGATCAGCGTTTGGGGGAACATTCTTAATTGTGCTTTGAGGAAAAAAAAAAAATGTAAAGGACAAGAACAGAAATACTTGACCCTTTAGAAGCTACAGCATTAACCTGTTTTGAGAGATTGGGAAGGCTGACAAGAGGTGGTTGGTACAGAGAAGGTGTTTTAGACGTGGTTAGGAGATGGAGCAGTAGTATTTCATGACAGCTATGAGGTTGGTGAGAAAGAGAAGATAACCTGAAGATTTGTTCCTGGTCAACTAGCCAATTGGAGTTTCCCTTTATTATGCTTGGAAGTACTAATAGTATATGATGCATATAGGCACATTTTTAATGTTTTACAGGCCATGTAGTCTCAGGGGCTGGGGATTTAGCTCAGCGGCACAGTGCCTGCCTAGCAAGTGCGAGGTCATGAGTTCAATTCCCGGTACCAGGAAAAAAAAAAACAAGTCATATAGTCTCACAGCCCTCTTGTAAAGAAAAGATGGAAATACAACACATATAATTTAAATACCTTTTCCCAAGGGCATGCTACCTATAAGTGACATAGGCTAGATTTTTGTTTGTGTTTTTGACCGGCTGAAGATTGCATGTTCTAAAACATTGTTATCCTTTGTGAGCATCAGGTTCTGAGCAAAAGTCATCAAGAGTTTAGGCAGCTTAAATTTAAATTGCCTGTGAAATAAGCTCAAGAAGGAACACGAAGTGAAAAACCAAGTATTGGACTTTGGGGTTTGGGTGGTAAGTTTGAGTTAGAGGAACAAATATCTGAGCTGTCCGGTGTGTTCTTTAAATACTATAGAATTGGCTAAAATTACATGACCAAAGATAGGTAGAATAAAGAGGTATTCTAACATTTGAAAAGTGGTATCAGGGAAAGGAAGAAACAAAGAAAAATAGAGCAATTTATAAGGTTCAAGCGTGTCATGAGTAAGTGTAATGGAAGAACAATAAAACTTTATTAATCGGTTCCTAAAAGACTTTTAAAATTTAATATTAAGTCACTGCACAATTGGCTTACTGTGCACAAGAAAATGAAAGATTTTGACATGAACACAGCTGAGAATTAGGTCTGTGGTGGAATGCTAATTAAATAGCTTTATTCTAAGGGAAGGCATTATCTGGAAACGCTTACCCCAAAACTCGAACTTTGGTGTATTTTCAGTCATTCTGGTGGCATGAAGATGTTCAGTAACTGCAGCATGGACGCTTTTGCACATTTCTTGACCAAGCAGATGTCTCAGTGCCTTCAGAATCAGCCACATTTGGAGCCTGTTTACAGGGAGTCGGCTATCTGCGGCAATGGCATAGTGGAACAAGGCGAAGCCTGCGACTGTGGAACAGAGGAGGTTGGTGACAAAAAGGTTGTGGCAGAATCTCACCACAATTATTCATTACTTTTGCGAGTGTTGTGTTTTTTGTGTTTTTTTTTTTTCTCGTACTGGGCATCGAACTCATGACCTCAGGCTTGCTAGACAAGTGCTTATGCTACCAAGCTACATCCACAGCCCCTTTTGGTAGTGGTGCATTGTCATTTTCCTTCAAGGATTACACTCTTCTTTCTACAAAGGCCTTCAGGAAGACATAGAAGGACTTAAACAAAATTCACAGGTGAACTTAGGTATTGCTGCACGGATTCACTAATAAGCTGGTTTTATTTTTTTATTGTAGTTTTATTGAAAGAAAGCTTTTAATGTTTTATTGAGGGAACAAAAACCAAATATTTATGGTGTATGACTTGATTGTTTATGTATACATTATAAAATAGTCACCATAAGCTAATTCACAAAGCAGTAATTTCACTGCTCACTCTCTTTTACAAATAAAAGATATATTACTCTATTATTAATTTATTATAAAATTTTTCTTAGTCTATGTTTGCAATATGATTACATTCATCTTGGGGAGTACATGATATAACATATCGTAATTCTTTTTACATCCTCTTACTTCCTCTCCTTCTTCTCTCTCTCTCTCCCTCTCTGTCTCTCATTATTCTGGTGAGGACAATTAGGATCTATCCTTGTAGCAAATTTCAAGTATATAATAGAATATCATTAACCATGAGTCACACTGTGTTGTACATTATACTGTATTTCCAGAGCTGTCTCTCAGCCTGTATAACTAAAATTTTGTACTTTGGGGTCATAATCTCTCTATTTCTCCCTCCCCACAGCTCTCCTGATAACCGCCATTCTAATCTCCCTAACAGGTAGTTCTCAAAGTCACTAATCTTATTCCTGAGTTGATCTACATTGGTTCTCCTCTTCCTGAGTATACTGTTTCACAGAATTTCTTTTCTTTTTTTTTTTCCTTCTGGTACCAGGAATCGAACTCATGACCTTGTGCTTGCCAGGCAGGCACTTTGCAACTGAGCTAAATCCCCAGCCCCTAGAATTTCTTTTCGACCTAAAATCTGCCATTCAGATAGAGAGATGTAAGACTTTCCCTGTAGAATAAGAAAATAGAAGGGGGACACATTTGTGGTTTTTGAATATTTTAATCCAGGTCAATATTGTAGTCAAAAAGATTTGAAATACATGTAAGCAAAGACAGTTTTTCAAACCACAAAAACTAGATAAATGTGCCAGGCTGGAGGGTAGTGGAAAGAGTAAAGATGGAGATACTACAAAGTGAGGAAAAAAGCAGAGATGAAATGAGTGATCTTTATTATACCTACAGTGTGTGCTGTGGACTTGGAAATCAGGAGGACTTGCATAGGATCCAGTATTCTACACAATGGCTAGGGTCCCACATGTGTGCCCTCCCCAACAGGAAAAGTATGCTTCTAGGTTTCTGGGTGGGTAATGTGTTTTAAACAAATTGTTCCCCACCTCCCACCCACTTGCTGTAGTGTAGTTTGGTTTAAATGGAAACACCTTAAATGGTTTCACTAATAGTTAACTGTAGTGTATCTTAGCTACATTAAATGTCATTTGAGTCCTGAGCACACTAATCTCTTTCCCCTCTAGAATTCCATACACACAGAAAAAGCAGTAAAATTTATTGGTCAGGCTAGCCGTGAAAAATATGTGCCCTGGTGAATGCTTTGCTGTAAATCATATTAAGACTACTGAAATCTATGATATGTCTTTGTGCAGTGTGTTGAAACTTTCCCCTAATTAAACCTGCTACTGCTGGTTTAATTAGGAGAAAGCCCTGGTGCAAAGCCCTGGGAATTTAGAACATATGGTGGTGTATGTATGTGTGTGTGAATGTATTGTCTCGCTAACCTTCTCTTATGTGTTGCTTTTATTATCCTTATCAATAAAAAATTTTAAAAATAGATTTATAGGATATAGACAAATTTCAGGATTAAAAGGGACACAATGACGCATGGATTAATGATTTAAAAGTGGCAATTTCAGTCATCGTGAGATATAATATCAGTTTAACCTTCATTAGGGAATTAAAAATGAAATGAACTTGCACTATCCCATAAAATATTGAAATATCAAAAGTATAGTAGATTCAAAAGGATCAAATAAGAACTTGTCACTACAACAAGATTTTTAGATCATAACTTCTGTTTATCTCACATCTTATATTTAACCAAATATTTGTGTGCCAGAACCAGAGATCTCGTCAGTGTCTTGGCTATGATCCCAGAGAATCCTATTACCAACATAGCCAAACTTAATTTTAAAATATCTTTTTAAAGAACACCAAGATCTAACACTTTGTAGATAATCGATAAATGTCTGTTAATAAATAGGTGACCTTTCTTCCTGTTTGCTAACTTTTGAAGTCAAGTGTCTATCTGTGTACCATACAATATGTTTTCACCATTAAAATATGCATCCAAGCTGGGAATATAGCTCAAGTGGCACAGAGCCTGCCTGGCAAGCACGAGGTCATGAGTTCGATTCCCTGGTACCAAAAAAATAAAAATAAAATGTATCCAATGTAAAGAAAGTTTGAAAGATACTTCAAAGCATTTGATTTCCAGGAGTGCCAAAGCAATGAGCCTGTCTGCTGCGAATATGCCACATGTACACTGAAAAGCTCTGCAAAATGTGCTCATGGCCCGTGTTGTGAAAACTGTGAGGTAAGAGATTTTTTTCAAAATATCTCATGGCCTATGTGATGAAAGTTATTATGCTTTATCGTTCTCATACCTTCACATTCTGCTCTATTCAATATAATGTCCTACACCCCATCAGATCAAGAAAGGAAAGATATGCCGGCCTGCCAGGGATGAGTGTGACTTTGATGATCACTGCAACGGTTCATCTATACAATGTGGAGAAGATATTTACGTTATTAACGGGAACAAATGCGGAGGTGAACGATGGATCTGCATGCAGGGGAAGTGTCAGAGTGGGAAGTCTCAGTGTGTAGAACTATTCAGTGCAGGTATTTGTGATAATTTGGTTTTCTATATATGTGTTTGGCTGGACACTGAAAAGAAGTAGATGTTATGCTTCACTCATAATCAAAGTGAATGGCAGCACAGGAAGCCAAAATGAACTTCAAACACATTAGTCGCCACCTAGTAAATATCACATACTGTTTCATTTTTAATTAGGTTAGATGCCTAATGTGCTGTTAGGGCATGGATTAATATTGACACTCATTAACATTCAGCAATATTGCAGTGGTCTTTTTAAAATAGGTAGGAAAAAAATCAAGAGCAGAAGCTATATGTCAATGTATATTCCATATCAATACCAAGTATATAAATTTCAAAGATAACATTCACATATAAGAAAATGCAACAAAAGTTATAAGAATTTGGGTTCCAGTCTTTGGTGGACACAATGGATATTGGATATGGAGGAAAAGGAATGTATTTTAAAAGGGCATTCAGAAGATAAATGATGATGTCTGCCGTGAATTGAACGTTGGATTAACTCCACTTTCTGTAGCAGTATCTCTGTACAGCTGTTTTAAAAATAGACCTCATCCAAACAAAAGGGGGACCCTCTGTTCTCAATGGTTGGTTAAGTTCATTTAGGAAAAACCTTCTACTATCAAAACAGAGGAAAATAGTTTAAAACTTTACAAGGAAGTGCTGCAGACCACCAAGCATGTGACAGGGCTGCTCAGGGAGGGGAGGACAACACCTCACTCTTGTTTCTTGGGGCAGCTGCTCCTTTGAAAGGAACAGAGAAGTAACTGCTGAGAGAACAAGCGCATCAGGAAAACCTTCCACTGTCCACAGTAAGGAGCTGAACAGAATTTTCCAGAGTCCCAAAGGCTGGAGGGATAAAGGGTGGAGCTGATAAACAGGCCACATTTTCCACAGAGACCCACTCAGAACTTGGTCTTGAAAATTAGAACCCATCCTTGACTAAAAGACATTCTATACATGTGTCAGAGCTTCACTTTGCACGCAGAGAACATTTCATCTGTCAAAATGGAGAATCAAATAAGTGAATAACTAAAAATTTAAAAGTGAAATAAAGAATATGAATGATATGCTCTTAAGCAGATGAATTAAACAGGAATAGCATATCAAAAAGTAAACTATAGGTCTACAGGAAATATATTTGTTGAGACACACAAGAAGCAAGGGAGGATAAATATAACTAGCTGTCTTTGCTTTATTTGCTCTTGAAATATATATATATATATATATAACCGGGAAATGAACTCAATACCTTGCACTTGCCAGGCAGGAACTTGTGCCACTGAGCTATATCCCCAGCCCCCCATTTTCTTGAGACAAGGTCTTGCCATGTAGTGCAGGCTGGCCTTGAACTCACTTATGTAGCCCAGGCTGGCCTTGGCTCATGACAATCCTCCTGCTTCAGCCTCCCGAGTGCTGGGATTATAGGCGTGTGCCACCATGCCCAGCTTTGAATGGTATTTTAGGCAAAGATTTATTTCCAGTTAAAAATCATTCCATTGTCTCCCATCTTTAATTATTATGCTTGAAAAGCTCTGTTTGTAATCTAAATGCTCTTCTTATATAGATGCTCCCATCCATCTTTTTCCTGTCTAGAAATATGAGATAACAGTCACCTTAATTCATACCTTGTTGCTCCCAAAATAAGACCTACCCAGAAAACAAGTTCTAGCATGATTTTAATTTCTCTTCTAAAATCTTGTTAGAACTTGTTTTCTGAGTAGGTCTTATACTGGGGACAATGGGGTATGACTTTTGTTGATAACTAATATTCTTTGAGATTTAGTTAGAGTTTACACAAGATCAGTCTACATACAGTGCATCCTCATTTCTAGAGTGTAGGTCTTCAGGATTTTCTGTGGAGACTTTGATATTTTCACTGAGACCCCCACACACGCCATATGCTGGCATATATGTCACCACAACACAGAGATTATAGAAAGATTTTTTCTCTTTTACAGTAGTTCTATTTTAATCTGCTGACTTGCTCACCTTTAGAATCAGGAGACAGCCCAGAGGAAGGAACCAGCCATATGTGGAAGGTCACTGAGTTTAGCTTAATCACTAACCTCTATGAAAGACTCTCAGGCTTTGGTCTTCTTTTCACCCGGAACCAGCTTTACCAGCTTTGCCAGCTTTGCCCTGAAACAAGATAATTAGTGTTCTGTTCCCTGGTGACTCTAGGGGTTTTACCTGAGTTACAATACAGTAGTCAAACATCCCTTTTAAAGGCTTTTGGCTTAAAGGAGAGCTTATGGAGGTTATAAAAATTAAACTGCTCTTTAAGTAGGTTGGGTCTTATGAGAACTGAAACAGATTATGTACATAGATTGGAGACAAATGTGAGAATGAACCAACTGTGCTGTCAAGGTTTCTTTTTTGGTCTGAGGAAATTATGATGAGGCAAGATGACTGGGTATTGGCTTGACTTGAGAAGACGTTTATGCAAAAAGTTTATTGACCAGTGAGTGGATTATATGTTTAAAAATTTATGCACTTATAGACTTATGTTTATAGATTTACTAAAATTAGAAGTCAAACTGCATGTAGTGATTTATATTAAAATATACCTAGTGTGCTTGTATGGGTAATAAGCAAGGGTCTTTCCAATTTTTAAATATTTTCATGGAAGTGGTTTTATATGATCTTAAGGCTAACTCTTATTTTTAATTTAATTTTTGTTTTGTTTTGTTTTGTTTTGTTTTTTGTTTTTCTCTGGTACCGGGAACTGAACTCACGACCTTGCGCTTGCTGGGCAGGCGCTTTGCCGCTGAGCTAAATCCCCAGCCCCTTATTTTTAATTTTATGTTATGATGTTATTTGGTATGGTATATTTTAAATCATCTCAGAATTTTAAATATATTCATTAGTTATTTTAATTTGAAGTACTCTATGCATAATGTGACTAACAACATTTTTTTTTCAGATATAGAATTTGGTTCAGATGAGTGTTTTCAAGAAGTTAATTCTAAGAATGATATTTCTGGAAACTGTGGTATAGTCAGCCCTGGGATATACAAACCATGTGCACCTGAGTATGTTTTAGGAAATCTGAGAATGTCTGCTATTTTGTATTTGAAAATATCATGGTTAATTAAGGTTGTATGTAATCAAGATATTGCCTGACCATGACATAAAACTGTGGTAGATGCAGAGATGTGCTATATTTATCTGCCTCACATACCCAAGTTATCCTTTAAATTTTACCACCACACAAAAGTCAGTTACCCATCAGTAATTATTTTTTATTTTGCATGCTATCTCCCACTGCAAATTTGGCTGGAGTATACTCACATTTCTGGGATCCAACTTGGACCTACCACAGAACTATAGACAACAGAGGAGTTTTACTACTATTATTTTTCTCTGTTTGATTGTTTTTCCTTATTCTGTCTGGTTGAGCTTTGTTTTGTTTTGCCTTGTCTTATTTTGTCTTTTGTGATTATTTTTGTTTTTTGTTTCTTGCTCTCTTTCTTTTCTCATTCAGGATTTAGATTCTAACATTTCTTTTTGTTTTCTTCTACTCATTTTCTTCCTTTCTTTCCTCAACCATCTCACTTGATTTTATGATACTTTCATAAAGTTTGTGTAAATATACTTTCACTGTAAGTGAAAGTACGGTACTTTCATCTGAGATGATTTAAAATTTCTCTCTTTTCCTTCTGGTTCACTTCAATGTTACTTTGGTTTCCCTTCCATTCCTTCCCTCCTATGTCTTCCAGTTTCCTAAAGTTGGATGCACATCCTTTGCCCCTCAGTCTTGCTCCTGCTATATTTAACCTTATTCATCTCTCTGTCTGCCCCCCTCCCTCCTACCCCCTCCCACACACCAGAGCAAAATGATTTCCACTAAGGGGAAATCATTGCATCTAAGTTCTTTATATGTGATGGATTTTGTTATATAACTGTAGAATTTGCTCCTGTGGTTAAAGGTATCAGGTTAATAGTTACCACCATTTTTCAGTAGCCACTACTGTTACTGCTAAATGTACTACTTTAGCCAGGATGTAATCTCTATTATAATCATTTTTTCTCCCTTGTATGAAAACACTGTGATTGTGTGGGGTCATAACCATCACTGTAGTCCAGTACCAAAGGAATAGTTGCTGAGCTAAATAGATAGCAACTTCACATCCTTGATACACTGGGAAGGTCAGTCCTTGGGATAGACACAAAGACCAAGAACCACCTGCAGCTAGAAGACATCCCTGAGGAACAGACATATCCTAGGGAAGCCTTGATACTTGGGATAAAACTATCTACCATAAGATATCTACAAGCATCAACACAGGAAACAAAATAAAATAAAGAACAGAAAATGACAAGACACAGAAGCAAAATGCAATCCTAGACTCCCAGCCCAATCAGGACAAGTCTAGAACAGAATGAAATAGAGGAAATCAGAAGTCAACCACCAGGAACTTTCTGAAATGATAGCAACAGAAGTGAAAAAACAAATGGAAGAGGCTATAGTAAAAAATAATCTCTAAGGTGCTAAAGTAAGTGACAATCAAAATGAAAGACATGAAATCAGACACAGATCAAACAAGTAGAGCAGCTCAGGAAAACAATGGAAACCATGAATGCCCAACAGAGAATTGGAATCCATGAAACAGATCCAAACAGAAATCCAGGAGATTAAAAACTCTAGTGAAAGTATACACAACAGATTCAATAAGGCAAAGATAGAATATCAGAACTAGAAGATAGAATTGTGGCATGCAGCCATGAAAAGAAAGATATCTTTAAAATAGCAAAAGAGGGCCAGGGATATAGCTCAGTGGCACAGTGTCTGCCTGGCAAGCATGAGGTCATGAGTTTGATTCCTAGCACAAAAAAAAAAAAAAGGAAGCCAGTAAGAGACCATGAAAAGTCAATCCCACAGCTACAAGATGAAGCAAAGAACAACAACATAAGATTGACTGGAGTCAGTGAGAAAGCTGGACATAAGGAAAAACCCACAAAAACTCTTCACAGAAATAATGGCAGACAACTTCCCAAACATGGATAAAGAAATTGACATACGAATAAATGAAGCATATAGAACTTCAAATAGCCATGACCAAATAAATCTACACTAAAGCATACATATAATCAAGATGCCAGAAATTGTGCACAAGAACAGAATATTTAAAGAGGCTAGAGAAAAAGAACAAACACCTATAAAGAATCACATCAGAATCACAGAAAACTTCTCAGCACAAGCCCTCAAACCAAGGAGAGCAAGGAATGAGTTATTTCAAGCCTTAAAAGAAAGTAACCTCCAATCCCTCAAACTTCTTTTAAAGATCAGTAGAAAAATAAGACACTTCCATGACAAAGAGCAACTAAAGAAATTCATGACCACCAAACCAGCTCTTCAGAATACTCTGAAGGATATAATAGAAAGAGAAAACAAAGACCACAAGCCCAAGAGCACCAATAGAAAGAAGCCACCAGGAGGGCAAGCAATTAAACAAAGGGGAAGACTGGGAACCAACCACAGGACAATAACATGAAAAAGATAATCCAATACATATCAGTTATAACCATCAGTGTAAATGGTCTCAACTCACCAATCAAAAGAAACAGACTGGCAGAATACATCAAGAAACAAGATCCAACAATATGCTGCATTGAAGAAACACATTTAACTCAAAAAGAAATTCATAAACTGAAAGTCAAAGGGTGGAAAACAGTACTCCATGCCACAGAAAATCAGAAAAAAGAAAAAAAGCAGGAGTAGCTATTCTATTTGCAGACAACATGAATTTCAGGTCAAGACTGATCAAGAGACAAAGAAAGTCACTACATACTTATTAAGAGAAAACTCCAAGAAGAAGAGAGAACAATCGTAAATATATATGTTCCAAATACCAGTATCCCCACCCAGCTACATAAAACGAATATTAACACACATGACAAATCAAATAAGCACTAACCAGGTGTGCTGGCACATGCCTGTAATACCAGCACTAGGAAGGCTGAGGCAGGAGGATCATTGCAAGTTTGAGACCAGCTTGGGCTGCAAAATGAGCTCAAGAGCAGTCTGAACTGCATAGTGAGACCCAGTCTCAAAAAGGCAAAAAAATAAAATAAAAAAGGAGGATTGTTGACAGTTGGAGACTAGCCTGAGCTACAAAGTGAGCTCAAGGCCAGCCTGAACTTCACAGCAAGACCCTGCCTCAAAAAGACCAAAAACAAAACAAAAAAAAAAAAAATCAAATAAGCACTAACACAACTGTAATGGAGGACCTTAATACTCTACTCTCACAATTAGATAGATCAACTGGACAAAAAATCAACAAAGAAATATCAGAATTAAACCCAACCTGTGAACAAATGGACTTAGTAGATGTTTACAGAATGTTCCATCCCACAAAATCAGAATACACATTCTTTTCAGCTGCACATGTGATGTTCTCCAAAATAGACCATGTTCGCCCATAAAACATGCATAAGTAAATGCAGAGGACTGAGATATCCCATGCAAAATCTCTGACTATAGTGCAATGAAAATGGAAATCAATGGCAAAAGAAACCACAAAAACTACATAAACACATGGAAGTTAAGCAACACTCTCCTGCACAGCCAATGGGTCACAGAGAAAAGTAAAGAAGAAATTAAACAGTATCTATAATTAAACAATAATGCCAGTACAACATACTGGAACATATAGGATGCAATGAAAGCAGTCCTATGAGGAAATTTATAGTGATGTATTCTCATGTCAGGAAAACAGAGCAAGCTCAAGTAAGCAACCTAATGTTGAATCTCAGACTTCTAGAAAAAGAAAAAATCAAAACCAAACCTCAGGCTGGGGACTTAGATCAGTGGCAAAATGCCTGCCTGGTAAGCATAAGGTCGTGAGTTTGGTTCCTGGTACTGGAAGAAAAGACAAAAAAAAGAAAAAAAACCAAACCTCATACTAGAAAGGAAATTACAAAGAGCAGAAATTAATGCAATTGAGACTAAGAAAACAATACAAAGAATCAATGACTCAAAGAGTTTATTCTTTAAAAGATTAAATAAAATTAATAAACCCTTAGCCAATCTCATCAAAAAGAGGAAAGAAAAGACTCAAATTCATGCAATTCTGAATAAAAAGTGGAAAATCAAATGGATCCTACAGAAATTCAGAGGATCATCAATATCTACTTCAAGAATCTGTATTCCAATAAAATGGAAAACACAGAAGAAATGGACAGATTCCTAGATACATATGAATTTCCAAAACTGGATCAAGAAAATATAAAGATTTAAAATAAACCAATATCATTCAATGAAATTGAAAATGTAATTAAAAACTTAACAACAAAAAAAGCCCAGGTCCTGACAGATGCAGTGTTCAATTCTACAAGGAATTTAGAGAATAGCTAAAACTCTTTAATGAAATTGAAATGGAAGCAATAATTCTAAAATTATTCCTGGAAGCAAGTACTACTGATACCAAAACCAGAGAAGGACCCAACCAAAAAAGAAAACTACAGAACAATCTCCCTAATGAGCATAGATGCAAAAAAATCTTCAATAAGATACTCGCAAACAGAATGCAGCAAATCATCGAGAAGATTATACATAATGACCAAGTGGGATTCATCCAAGGAATGCAAGGATAGTTCAATACACACAAACCAATAAATGTAATATACCATATTAACAAAGCCAAAGACAAAAATTTAATGATAATCTCAGTAGATGCAGAAAAAGCATTTGACAAAGTCCAACACCCATTCCTTACAAAAAAAAACTTCTGAAAACTGGAAAAAATGGCCTTTATCTCAATCTGATAAAGCCATCTGTGACAAACCAATACCTAACATCATACTGCATGGTCAAAAAGTGAAAGCTTTTACTCTAAAATCAGGAAGAAGAAAAGGATGTCCACTATCACCCCAACTATTCTCCTTCTGGGTATCTTCCTGGAAGAATGAGAAACAGCATACCACAGTGATATATGTTCACCCATGTTTATAGCAGCACAGTAAATCTGGGAAACAATCCAAATTCCCATCAACTGAGGAATGAGAATGGAGTACTACTCATCCATAAAGAATAATAAACTTGAGACATTTATAGGTAAATGGATGCAACTTCAGACCATACTCATAAGTAAAATAAATCAGACTCACATGTGCAAACCTCTTATTGTCTCCCTGGTGTGAAAAACTGAAAGAGTAAATAAAGACCAAAATGTACAATAGATATTGTGAAATGGGAAGAAATTGCTCAAAAGGAAAGAGAAATGAGAGTGAGAGAAGGGGGAAAGTTTGGAAGGGAAAAGGAAAAAAACAGCATAATTATACTACTAGTTTCTCTCAGTTCATTGAAAAGAAAAGTTTGCACTAATATCATTTGGAGAATTTTTTATGCCCATATGTTGTACTTTGAGTAACTACTTTGAAGATAACAATATGCAGTGTATTGTTATTCTCCTATTATTTTGTTATGAAATTTTGTTTTATTTTTTCAATTAAAAAATCCAACATTTATTCATGACAAAAACCTGAAGAAAATGGTTATAGAAGGATCTAATCTCAATCTAATAACAACCACTTATGACAAATCTACTGCCAACATCATATCAAATGGGGAAAACCTGAAAACTTCCCTTCTAACATCAGGAACAAGACAATCACTCATATTTAATGCAGTCCTCAAAACATTAGCTAGAGCAAAATAAAAGGGATAAAAAACCAATCATATTCCTGTATACCAATAATGAAATCATCAAGAAAAAAATTAGGAAAAATCCAATACTAATCTAACCAAGAAAGTGACCTCTACAAAGAAATCCACAGTACTCTGAAAAAGGAGATAGAAGAGGACATAAGAAAGTAGAAAGATATCTCCTGTTCTTGGATAGGCAAAACCAATATAATCAAAATGGCCATCCTTCAAAAACTGGTAGATTTAATGCAATCCCAACCTAAGTAACAGCAGCATTTTTCACAGAACTAGAGAAAATAATTCCTAAAATTCATGTGGAACAAACAAGATTCAGAATAGCAAAAGAAATCCTGAGCAACAAAAGCAAACCAGGAGTCCTCACAATCCAAGACTTCAAATTATATTACAAAGCTATAGTAATAAAAACAGCATAGCACTGGCACATGTGTTAGTTACACTTTTCTTGTTGCGGAGACAAAATACTGAACACCCAAAGTTAAAGGGGGAAAGGTTTCTTTAGCTCACAGTTAATAGAGGTTTCAGTCCACAATTGCCTGGCTCCAAGGCAGGGTGGTGTGGCAGAACAGGCATCTCAGAAAAGAAACAGTCCACAATGCGAAGAAGACAGCAAAGCAAGTGAGCAAGCCATAAGTGACAATAGAAGCTTCTTTCTGCCCCTTTTATATAGGCTACCTGGCTTAGGGTGGTGCCAAATCAATCAGTGGACAAACTTAGTAATCACACACTCTTAATCCCAGCATCACATTCTAGATCCAGCCACCTCTGAAAAAAATCAATCTATGACCACATGAGGCTTTGGGGCAGACATCTAGATACAATCCACATGAGGCTGGCAGGGGGACATCTAGATACAAGCCATAATGGCACAAAAATGAGCGTGTGAGTCAATGGAAGAGAATAGAGGATGCAGAAACAGCCCCAGGCACATTCAGCTCTCAGATCTTGGACAAGGGTGCCAAAAATATAAGCTAGAGAAAGTTGAGCCAATTTAACAAATGGTGCTAGGATAACTGGCTATCAGCATGCAGAAGACTGAATTTAGATCCATGTCTCTCACCATGTACTAAACCAGAAAAAAAAAAAAAAAAAAGGATCAAAGATCAAAATGTTAAAACAGAAACTCTTAACCTGCTGGAAAGTAAAGTAGGTAAAACTCTTGAAGACATAAGCATAGGCCAGCACTTTCTGAACAGAAACCCAATTACACAGGAAATAGCATCAAGAATCAGGATCGTGTCAAATTAAAAAGCTTCTGTACAATCAAGAAAACAAACCACACAGTGAAGAAACAACCTATGAAATGCAAATAAAAATGCGCCAACTTTGACAGAGGACTATTATTTAGAAAATGGAAAGTACTGAAAAAAATTAGACCCACCAAAATAAAGGACCACTTAAAAAAAAGATAACTGAAATGAATAGATCCTTTTCAGAAGTACAAATGACCAATAAATACATACACACACCATATGTTCTAGGAGCAGAAAGGAACTTCTGTAAACTGAGATAGATATCTGTCCTCCACACTGCTAGAACCTTCCATCTAAACTTATTTCTCTTCCCTGTGAAGCACCCAGCACACATTTTGCCTGGTGATGAATTTTCCTAGTTACTGTCTGATGACAGCCTTAGCTCAATTTGAAGGGTGTTTTCTCTTCAAAACATAGATGGCCAGACATCTGTGTTCCATGCTGAAGATATCATTTAGCAGCCTTTTGTTTTGCACTTTTTAATGCTGAAACATCAATTTTTGGTTGTATTATTGTTCTTTTGTATGTAATCTTTTTTCTGGTTGCTATTATGATTTCTATGCAGCTTACAACAGTATCATGAAGACACACTTTTTTTTTACTGTCATTACATGCAACTTTTATTTTTCAGTTGTACTTTAACAAAGCTGAGGACAATATACATTCCTGAAACCCACCATTGTCCTACTAGAGCAGGACATCTGAAGCTGAGAGCATGACCCTCAAACACTGGTGTTGGCCGCCCACTGCGTGTCCTGCACCACTATAGTGCTGCCAATGGTTATGGCTTGGAATTTGTACTTTTTACCAAATTGTGTGAATCTTGGGAATATCAGAATTTTTTCTTTTTTCTCCTTTTTCATTAGTATATGTGTGCGATTCATAACACATACATTCATAGTGGGGTATCAGCACATATGCATATCACATCTCAGTCCTTCTTATTGCCCCTCCCCTCATCTCTCTCCTGCCTCCTCTGCCCTGACCCCACCTTAAGGTTTACTCCATATAAGTGCATGTAACCCTTCTTGAGTGTGTTCCCAACATCATGATAGTTCGGGTCCGACACTGTGAAGCTGAAAAGAAAGCCAAATAAGGCTGGTCATTGGACAAATTCTCTCATTTTTTAAAGATAGAAGCTGGGTGTGGTGGCTCATGCCTGTAATCCCAGAACTTGGGAAGCTGAGGCAGGAGGACCACTGTGAGTTCAAGGCCTACCTGGACAACATAGTGAGACCCTGTCTCAAAACAGAAAAAAAAAAGTAGAATGTTCTTGGGTGTGATGATGCTTAAAGGCCAAAAAACAGTGAAGGCAACACACACAAAAAAGCGTCAATTTAACGGGGGAGTGGTACACAATTATTATTAAAATGTTCAGTTTTTATTAGCAATTTGGGAAAGCGCTTTCTCTTTTTTGGTCTTTTAAAGTTAATTGCATACGCTCTATTGCAAATGTTGAATGTTTTCCTTGAACTTATTTGTTTTTGGAATGGTAGGCAAGATTTTATTAAGATTAATGATTTTCATCTATGTGCAAATTACAGCCATGTGAAGTGTGGAAAATTAATATGTTTATATCATAAGAAAGAAGTACTCAAACATAAGGAAGCCATTACTATTTATAGAAATGTAAGTGGACAGATCTGTGTTGGCGTGGAATATCCCCTCACACATGAAGAAAATGAAAAGATGTGGGTACAAGATGGTACAAGATGTGCACCTGAAAAGGTGGGTAGTTTCTTCTCCACAAAACTTCTGAGTACTTTATACCATGGTTGTTTTGGGGTTTGCTTTTTTTTTTTTTTTTTGGATACAGGGTCTTACAATGCAATTCAGGCTACCCTTACTACATAACCTAGGCTGGCCTCAAACTCATGGCAATCCTCTTGCCTCAGCCTCCCAAGGGCTGGGATGACAGACCTTTGCCACCACTACTGGCACTTGATACTATATTCTTAAATGATACATATTTAGTATATTCTCATGGCTGAAATGTAAAGTCAACATTGAAATTTGGAAAATAAGAAAAATATTTAAGAATCAAATATTCAGCAAGCACGTACAGGTGATGTTTCTCTGATGTTTTGTTTGGCTACTTGGTTTTTCTTACGGAAGTTATGTGTATTCATTGACATGAGAATCACACTGTTCATTCACTGTATTTCATTAAATTATCCCATGCTTCAAAGTGAGCACTTCTAACATCATGAATTTTCTTTTGGAATAACCTTTTTAAAGTATTTATTTTTAAATTATTTTATTAGTATATATTTCTAGTGCACAGCAGTTGTATCCATCTTGAGGAACTGGTCCATACACACATTGCATCTTAATCATTTTTACCTATACTCCTTCGCCTCCGCTCTCCACCTACCTCCACAAAGTCTACCTCTTTGTTTCTTATCGTCTATTTTTCATTTTCCCCTTTAAATAGTTATATTTTGGGTTTCTCATGTAAAAGAAAACATGCAATTTTAACCTTCTGTGTCTGACATATTTCACTTAGCATTATTGTCTCCAAGTGTATTTCTTTTTCTACAAATGACTCAAATGTAACCTTTATAACACAACATTGTTTTTGATCCACACTTTTTGATCCATTTATCTATTAATCAGCTGTCTTAGTTACTTTTCTCTCCTTGCTGAGACAAAATACCTGACACCCAGAATTAAAGAAGGAAAGGTGTATTTAGCTCAGTTTGTGGAAGTTTCAGTCTATAATCAGCTGGCTCCAAGGCAGGGTGGCAACAGTTCGTGGTGGCAGAAGACAGCAAAAGCAACAAAAGCAAAAGAGGGGAGCAGTGGCAAGTAGCCTCTTTCCCTCCCTTACGTTGTATGCAAACTACCCGCCCCAGGGCAAGTGTAGCACTTGGACCCATAATTCCAACATTAGACCATGGATCAATCATAAATTCTAGAAGCATGCCCTGTGACTACATTAGGCTTCGGGGGGACATCCAGATACAAACCATAACATAAGCCTATAGGTTGCTACCTATAGGTTAGCTCTTATGAACTGTGTTCCTATAAACATAGGCATGCATAGATACTGTAATATGATATCTTCAACCTTTCCAGGAAGATAACTAGAAGAGGTATAACAGGGTCAAATGGAAATTCTACTTTTAACGTTTTGAGGAATCAACCTACTTATTTCCACAGTAGTTGCATAACTTTTTACATGACTATTAAAATAATATATGCCCATGTTAGAGATAGAAGTGGTAAAGAAGTCACATAGGAAAACATATATACAAGTCACATATCTGAGATGTAATTATATGTCCATTCTGATGAGCATAACTTCCAGCTGTTTATATACACACATACATGCACAGATATAAGCTATTTCTAACTACATATGTATAAAAGCATTCCATTTTCTGACCTGCTCTTTCTATTTTATCTCTCAGTATGGTACATATAGGTAGTATCAAAATTTTGACTCCTTTACAATTTGTTTTTAATATCCAAAGTTATATCCTTTTATATTGTGTACCTATTAATATAGATTTATAGTCACTTTTATGCATTTGTTTCACATCTCATAGAAAATAAAAGTGGAGTTGCAAATAAAAATTAGAATAATACTGGTTTTTATACCTGCTTATTTATTTACATTTACTAGTGATCTTTGAATCTCCATAGGACTTCTTGTTAATGACTACATTCACTTATTTCATTCTGAAGAATTTCCTTTAGTAGTTGTAAGCCAGGCCTTCAAGTAGTTAATTCCCTCAGTTATTTTTTTTTTTCAATCTGTGCAATGTCTTAATTTCACGCTCATTATCCTTTTTTTTTTTTTTTTCTTGGAACTGGGAATGAAATGCAGGACCATGTGCTTGCTAGGCAGGCGCTGTGCCGCTGAGCTATGTCCCCGGCCCTGGCCCTCATTTTCAAAGGACAATTTTCTGACAGAATTCTTAGTTGGAAACTGCCCCCTCCATTTCTCCATTCTCTTCTAGCCTCTTCTGCTCAGAAATCTGTAGATAGCCTTATTGAGATTCCTTGCATGTGATGATTTGTTTTCACTTACTACTCTTAAGATTCTTTGTCTTTGTCCATGTCTTCTCTTTAGGTCTTTGAGGACATTAAGTACAGCTATTTCAAAACAAATTTCCATAACTTCAGGTTTTCCATTAAAATGAACATATTTTTTCTGTTACTTTTCATTCCTTGGGTCAGGGGTATAGCTCAGTGGCACAAGCTGAGCATGCCTGGCAAGCACAAGGTCCTGAGTTTGATTTCCAGTATCCCCCCAAAAAAAATTAAGTTAAAAAAATAAAATGATTATCCTTTCATTTCTTATAATTTTTTTGCTGAAAAACATGTACCCCTCACAATGTTTATAGAATCACTTAATATTGGGCAAGTTTTTATTATTTTTATATATATCATAATTGTATATGTTCATTGGTGCAATGTAGTGTTTTGAAATATGTATACATTTGTGTAATGATCAAATCAGAGGAATTAGCATACCCACTATGTTAAATATTTGTCATCTATTCGTTGTGGGACTATTCAAAATTCCATTTGAAAAATGTAGTGCATAGCTATAGTCACCCTCCTCTGTAATAGAGTATCAGAATTTATTCCTCCTTTCTAACAATAACTGTGCCTGCTGACCAGTCCTTCTCCATCTCACCCTTCCCCATATTGTCTCCAGCCACTGGCAGCCACTTTCTAATCTCAGCTTCTGTTTAACATTTTCAGATTCACTTATGATTAGATCGTATGGTACTTGTTCCTCTATGCCTGGCATATTTCACTTAACATAGTGTCCTCCAGGCTCATCCATGGTGTCACAAATGAGAAGATTTCATTCTTTTTATGGCTGAATAGTATTCCATCTTCTATATGCACCACATATCCTTTATCGATTAATCCATGACAGGCATTTAAATTTAATTCACTCTGTTGAGTAGTGTGGGTAGTGCTGCAATGAACAAGAGAGTATATATCTGTTTGATATATTGATTTTATTTCTTTTGGGAATATATAATCTCAAATCAAATTCAATGGTTAGGTTCAATGTTGATCTTATGGGGAAATTTGATTCAGTTTTCCTCCAATTCAGTTTGTGACCAGAATCATGGAAAAGATTAATTCATAAATCAAGGTAGAGATGTAGATCTATAGATATACATATATATAGATACACATATACACAGATAGAGATATATAGATAAATAGAACCAATAGGGGAGCTATTGGATGTTATGGTAGTTCTGATTTATTTTAGGTGGGAGTGGGAAACCTCATACTGTTTTCTATAGCTGGTATACTAAGAGTATACCCATTACATTATAAGCAGTATATAAGCAATATATAAGAGTTCACCCTTTCTCCACTTTCTCACCAATTTTTGTTACTTTTTTGTCTTTTTGATGATAACCTTTCTAACTGGCATGAGGCAATATTTCATTGTGGCTTTTATTTTGGTGTAGTAGGGAATGTTTTAAATTAAATGACAAATCTGGATAGCATACCAGTGACCTTATTTTTACTTATTCCTTCTTGTAGGTTTGTAAGAATAAACAATGTGTAGATGAGTCAGTCTTGGGTTTTGACTGCACGCCACGAACTTGCAACAATAATGGTGTAAGTACCAGCACTACGAGGTCACAAGTGATTTAGACTAATCCAAGGAAAGCAAGTGCACAGCACACAGGTACACACACACACACATACACACAGGCATGTGTGCACACACCCTCATATATACACATATATACTCATAAACCAAGTAGGAAAATTGTTTTGTTTTGTTTTTTTACCTAAGAACTATTTTATGAATCTTCTTGAACACATACAAAATCCAGGGGCTTATCTTAGAAGGTGATATTCTCTTGCTTTTAGGTATGCAATAACAAAAAGCACTGTGTTTGTAATCCCCAATACCAACCTCCAAACTGCGAGAACCCACAGGGTAGGAGTGCTGAGGATGAGCATGAACTATTTGAATCAATCCCTGGTAAGTATTAATAACAAATAGAAAATATACAAAACATCATTTTAATTTTTTAAGTTTAAAAATCTTTGGTATACCACTTTATATTTAGATTATATCTAAGCATCAAATAATAAACCACCTATGACTATGTTTTACATGTAGAGAGTATATGTGCACATACACACACACACACACACACACGATTATCAGTTATAACCCAGGTAAGAAAACAGAAGTCAGTTTGGTCCTTAAAGGAAGGAAGTCAATAAGAGGCATCAGGTAGCATACAATGAGAGAAATGAAAAACAGTCAGAGAATGGTGAGATACCTAGATATTAACAACAACATACTAAGGGCTGGAGTGATAATAAAAGGAGATGATATTACTAGAACTACAACCTGAACACAGCATGACATGTGACTATGGTCAGAGCTGATTAATAGGGTATGGGCCTCAAGGAGAGGTACTGTCCAGTATTATCTGGAGGGTTAGAGGATACAGGGATATAGCGCAGCAGTGCGGCGCCTTCCTGGCAAGCACAAGGTCCTGAATTTGATTCCTTGTACCAAAAAAGAAGGATACATAGTCACTATTGGCGATGCTAGACAGGACCGGTGAGAAATACCATAGCTATTTCATTCTTCCAATTCTATAGATTCTGTCCAGTGACTCTGACTTAGCAAACCTAAGTAGAGGAGAGTAAGCCAAGGAGCTTAGGAAAGATAGCTCCCTGAAATATTGATCAAACTAGGGATGAAGTTTAAAGAAAGCCAGTAATTAATCAGAATTTGTAATAGCACATAGGGTCAGGCAATTTCTTTCATATACGTAAATAAAAACTTATAGGTAAGTAGAGGCTGTGTTTCCAGATTTTGAATCAGAGGTAGTTCTTAATATTTCCATATTTACTCCAATATTTGGACATATCACATTTTAATGACATATAGAAATAGACTGGTAAATTTAAGCCATAATACTGTTAGGTGTACTACAAAGCTCTTTTCACATTAGTAGTAAGAGTTGCAGTTCATTATTTCTGCCCATGCACACATGTGTCCCTTACCCAAGGAGCAATGGGGGCTCTCCTAGAGTCCAGATTGATCTCAGTGGTACGACTGATCAGTAACTTGGGCAGAACTAACCTTCTGTCTCCCATGATCTTCTTGCAGATTCTGACTAGGTCTCTTGGAAAGTGTATTCTGGGAGCTCTCATTCCTTTGAAAGTCATTTGTAATGCACAAAAAATAACTACACTGAGACACAAAGATATAACCCTCCCCAATGAAGCCTTACCTAAAGTCATGACCCACAAACTTGTAAGCAAAATTAAATGATTAAGTAACTACACTTTAATTTCTTTCACAGAAGTGTATCTTAGAAACCAGGGTAGTATATTTCTATAGCAAACATAAAGCATACAGCGTTTGTTTTGGAATGGGTCAGTGCATGGAAGGTAGTTAGGGCTCCTAGAGACCCTTAAAGACAAGTTGAAATTCTCTTGAGACGATTGTTGGTCAGCGACTCAAAGATGTTAAAAAGATGTTATTAGTTTAAAAAGATGTTATTAGTAGTTAAAGAAAGTGGAATATCTACCATGAAATGATAAACTGTTTAACAACATTGTCCCCTGTGCTAATGTGGAAGATAAAACGTGTGCTTCCCTTTGGTAACAAACAAAATGCAGGGTAAATATAAGACATCTAGAGTTTAGGGTAGAGGGAGGATAAGAATAAAGTTAATTTTCTTTCTTGGTCTCTTCCAATAAATATTTCACGATCAATGGCTACTGCCAAATTTGAGATTTTTTTAGTAATAAAATTTTATCTCAGATTAAAATATACATCAAGCATTTTCCTACCATCTCCTTTGTTAAAACTTCATAAAATTTTAAGTTAATGTCTGGCAGAGACCTCTTCATCTGTTCAAAAGGCCTAAGCGTTTTATGGAAATGACTCCTAATAATTCACCCACAAAAAGCCTATGAAGAATGTTAAGTAGATTTTTCCACAGAAGCCTTACTGAGGCTTAATACAGCGAAAAGTTTATGTCACACAGGCTTGTAAGAATGGCCTTCATATAGTAGACTATACACAGAAACCCACATGTTAAAGGAATTGTATCAGCTCAGGCTTAATGGGATCAAGATAAATACATACGTTCATTCCTCCAATCCACTAATGGTTAGATACAGACCGATAAACCTACTCAAAATGTGAAAAGGAGCATTCCTTGTGGAATATGGATTATCAACCAAATGGTAGAAACAACAAGGCAGATGCTAAAACTTTTGAGGGTTGATGGTATAGAAAATCCACTACCAACAAAAACAAACAAACTATAGTCCCAGATAGTGAGAGAAACCACATCTCTGCAAGGAAGAAATACTGCTATTATTTTTTAAAAGAAAAAAAAAAAACAAAACACTGGTGGGGAAACACCCATCCATTCATTTTATGATGAAAACATAACCCTCATGCCAAGTTTAGACAAGCAAACTAATAAAGAAAAAAATCGCACAGTTTAACTTTTATGAACAAAGTCCCAACCCCCAACAGAATATTAGCTCGCACTACTTAGCTGTCTGTATTAAAACACAACGATCCAGACCAATGGTGCTGTTTTATCACTCAAAAGTCGATCAGTATAATTCACCATATCAACAAAAGACAAATAATACAATTATCTTATTTGACGGAGGAAAAAAAATCCCCTGATAATATTTAATCCTTTTCCATAAATTTCTTCAAAAACAGAACATTAGCTCAGGAATTCCTAGCATGGGGGGCAAGGAGGGCAATGCCCAAAAAAGCTCCAAAAAGGGGCTGGGGATTTAGCTCAGCGGCAAAAGCGCCTGCCTGGCAAGCACAAGGTCGTGAGTTCGGTTCCCGGTACTGGAGAAAAACAAAAAA